TAGTTTCGAAAGCAGAAAGTAAACTGGCTAGGCCTATATTCTTTAGATAAACAATTATATTCGCGGAAATAGGCACTTTTGCTACAAATTACTCCCGCTATGGCTACCAAAGACTTGTATTTGGCAGGCGATTCTGGCTGCGACTTCAGGCACAAGCTCACTTTCTAATGTCACTCTGCTTGTAAAGCTTGCCCCTTGGTCTAAATTAATGTCAACCCAGGCTCTCCGACTTCACCATTTGTCCGCTTCTCTATCTATCTGGCCTTCCTTCCCACCTAAATCTCTACTATCTTCCCATCATCATAGTTGCTTTCACAACTTAGTCATATTGACTTAAGGGAACGCACCTCGTCCGGAGTCAGACCATGGAAATGGTACATTCCCAAACGTTTCGCCAGCATCGCAGTCAGCATCGTCAGTGAGTCTTGCCATTCTTAGCACCATACGACAACTCATCAAAGAGACAAGTGAAGCCGATCCTTTGACCAATGGTCTGCTAAACAATCGTGGTATCTCTCCTTCCGCCCTGGGCTAATCACCAATCCCATATCTTCGTATCACATCTTTACCATCACAATTTTTTACTTGCTTGTTTGAATGTGGTATGGTGAGCCCTTTTGAGCGGCTTTCATAAGGACCCTCCACACTCCACACTCCACACTGGTGTTCTCACCCCCCTTCACCCTTGTGCTGAGAATGTTGATCAGAGCCTGCCCTATTGTTACGCAGTCCTCTTCCTTAGGTCTTATCATAGTCTCCCTCTTGTCCCGTGGGATCAATCTGCTATCTTCCTGCTTTAAGTATTTCACTCGACAATTGTCACCACATCTGTCTATGACTTGCCATTCCCTATTGTCTTGTGTGCCAACCCACAAATGTTGTGGTACAACATTGAACCTAACCAAAGCAACCAGTACCACAACATTTGTGGGTTGGCACACAAGAGAATAGGAAATGCCAAGTCATAGACTTGGTATTACGGATTGAAAAGGACAGACGCGGCGGAGATTAGAGCTAGTTGGGTGACAGTAGATCTGCTTGATCATAGACATGGTCCATGAAGCAAGGGCTTGACCATGAGAATTATGTTGGCTCTTGAGCATCAAGTTAGTCTCCTAACAGCAGATGTGGAAAATAACTCCTCCAGTAGCACAGATGGGGTGACAATTGTCGAGTGAAATACTTAAAGCAGGAAGATAGCAGATTGATCCTATGGGGCAAGAGGGAGACTATGATAAGACCTAAGGGAGAGGACTGCGTAACAATAGGGTAGGCTCTGATCAACATTCTCAGCACAAGGGTGAAGGGGGGTGAGAACACCAGTGTGGAGTGTGGAGGGTCCTCATGAAAGCAGCTCAAAAGAGCTCACCATACAACATTCAAACAAGCAAGTAAAAAATTGTGATGGTAAAGGTGTGATACGAAAGTATGGGATTGGTGATTAGCCCAGGGCTGAAGGAGAGATACCACGATTGTTTAGCAGACAATTGGTCAAAGGATCGGCTTCACTTGTCTCTTTGACGTATTGTAGAGTGGTGCTAGAAGTGGCAAGACTCACTGACGATGCCGGCGAAACGTCTGGGAATGTACCACGTCCAAGGTCCTACTCTGAAAATGATGATGCATACAATGGACTCCGGACTAGGCGCGTTTCTCTAGGTCTTCCTGCCAATATGAACAAGTTGCGAAAACACGGTCAAACAACTTCTATAATTTTAATTTTCGGCTTCATGTAAGACTAACTATTTTTCAAAATTCTCTCTGTCACTAAATGAAATAATCTAGAAGCTTATTTTTACATATTGTATTACTATATCTACGATTTGGCTCCTATTTGCCTTGAAATTTATTATTAGATATCCGATTATAAAATCTGATCTGAAAACCATTAATGCCGAATCACTGGATGACATTAAAGACAGAAAGGTATTTTGGGAGGCTAGAGGAGGTTGAAGTGTGTTATCTATTTCTGTATTTTATTTATTCAGTAAAGCTGTATGCGTAAGCATATAAAGAAAAATAGGTTTTTGCTATGAGCGATGGGTTGTAGACATAAAGTTTTCCCATCTTTAAATTGCATGATTCACGTGATCGGAATAATGGAATCGTTTGATCAGATTATAATGGACTTGCAGGATAAGTATCAATAAAAATATAAGTGCTGCTATGTCCTGGCAAGTTCTTCTTTTTGTTGCCTCATTGAATCAGCATTTCGGTAATACTGTTCAGTCAAGAGATCCCATTTTTAGCTGCATTAGGCCTTCTTTTCGCGATTTACTCGAAAGAGATAGCGGGTGGCCAAGTCCCCGTGGCAGAATGCTTTACTCCACTCCACATTTTTGGTGCTGGCAACGCCGATTGAAAATAATTGAGGATGACAACTGCCATATGCAAACTCTTTTCTTCTCCCTCGCCTCTACAGTCGAGGCGGACGTCAAAGTGGACAGTGAAGCCGATGCCCCTCTCGAAGGAGGAGCTCAACCCGGCCAGGCTCTGGTAGGCAGGGCCGGCGAAGAACCGACTCGAGCCGATGAGTCGGGCGAGGACTGCATTCTGTCAACTCATGCGGCCGATCAGCTTTTGGACGCGTCGAACAGATCTGCTGCCACGGCTTTGGACACAGAGACACCGGCCGACACCAGCATCCCGACCAGCCGCGCCGCCACGTCCGTTGCCAGCTCCGAAGGCTTGAGTCCAGAGACCGGTGCCTGCTCCGCCTCGTCCGTCGCCACCGTCGCCGGGTTCACGCCTGCGCCCGGCTCACTATTCAGCGCGCCCGGTGACATTCTTCTCATGACGGCAACCGATTCTACGGCTCGCCTCCGCTTGATCCGGCAACCGGAGACGCAGCATCGTGCTCGCTACCTGACCGAGGGCAGCCGGGGTGCCGTCAAGGATAAACAGGGCGATGGATATCCCATGATTCAGGCGAGCCACTCATCATTTCTACACCCTCCTTTGCGCATTATCACCGCCTCGTGCATTGCAATCATTCAGACTTTATCGCCAACCGCACACGACAACATCAAGACGATCACTTACGCATTAGACGCACGCATACAGGCATGCAAATGTCCACTTACATTAGCGGAACTTCACGAGAGGATATAATTTAGTATCATGAAATGTATTCACCCTATTTCGTGTAAGGTGATGAAGGACTGGTAGTAGAATTTTCCCACAAAGATTACAACGAAGATCAGGATTTCTATTACTCTCTTTCATTGGCTAATTAAAATTTATTGACTCTGGAATGACTGGTTGTGACTGGTGAGATCGTAACTTGACTTTTACACACACGTACACACACACACACACACTCCTAATTCTCATCATCTCAATCAGGGCTACTTTCTGGTTTACACAATTTCGGCCAGGCTTCTTATTAAATCATTAAACCCTGATGACCCAACATGAGAGTAAACTCTCTTATATCAACTATGAGGCATAGCCAGTATTGTGTACTCTAACTTACATGTGTACAGACGTCATCACATGCAAATGCACACACTAAGGCCACACATTCAAGAGTAAGTATACATAAAAAAGAATTAAGCAAATAATTATATATCTACATATTTTCGTTGTATTCACCCTAATGTGATGAAGGACTGGTAGTAGAATTTTCTAACAATGATATGAGTTTCCATTAAATTTCACATAACCTTGCTTTCCCAAAAGTTGTCCTCATCCAAGCACCAGTGGACTGCAGTTTCGACCTCGCATCGGTCTTATCAACACCCTCAGCGGGAGTCACCTTAGACGAAATAGGGTGAATACATCTCATCACACTGATTTACTGGTAGTCTCGAAACCCTACTCTCGTATAAATTAGTGCCGGTCTTGCCCCATGCCGATATTTGTTAGCCGGCCAATGGCAGAATTGCATTTTTCGCAAATTATCTCTACAACTTGTAGTTAGCAAAATCAAGGAGTTCATAACTGGCCACTTGAAAATGCATCCTATTTCGTTTAAGGCGATGCAGAAGTAGTAATTCAATTTTCCCACAGCATGTGGGAAGGCCTCGTGTTTTCATTGAATTTAACACAGTCTTGCTTCCCAACGATATTTTATCCCAGACATAAGTGGACTACAGTTTCGACTTCGCATGTGTTTTTATATACTGGCTCATAGGCCGCTTCTTTGTATCTGTTTTCTCAGCTGTCTTTTTTATCCACCTTTCTTACAGGCATCAGCAACTTTACGCTTTAGCAAAATAAAGCGTTGTGTGTCATATACGGCATACTTCCGTTGAAAGGCACTCAGTGAACCACAAGCAGCTCCAAGTTAATGCAGCATTATTAATATATGCAGTATTAATAATCCTTTAAACTAACCGCAAATTTACTTTAAATTAATGGTATTCCCTTACTGCCTTGCGACTTTCTTGTTATCAGAAAAATGTATGCGAAGAAAAGTAGGGTTTCGACGAATCGCTTGTTTCATAATTGCTGAGCTTACTTCCATTTCGAGTGAAAGTTTAGGGTAAAGGTGATGGTTATAACTTAAATGTAGGAAGGGGGAGATAGGGGTTATTAAACCTTGATGGCCAAAAATAGACGTTCCTTTATGCTGTCCTAATTCCTTTGGGCCATCATTGCGGGTTTCGTGCATAAGCGAACACAAACAGGCACATACAAATACAGAGACAGACACATTTACATGAATCGAAGTTGACATATGACCGTAACTAAC